ACAGCATTACTTTACGTCGTAATCGATTATTTATCTTATAAAGGTTTAAATAAATATAAGTATATATAAATTATTATTTAGTGACAATGAAATTTAGTTTTAATTTTTCTACTTGACAAAATATTATTTTWAATTTTCGCTTCAATATGCAATAAATTTTGAATTTTGTCAAAATATGCTAAAATATGTAATAACACCAATAACCTTTAAATATGCAGAAATATGCAAAAAAAATTTCACCATTAGCTTCAAATTATGATGATTCGTGGACATAACTGACAACAATCCAAAAATATTAAAAGTAAAAAATATGCAATTGCATAGAAATCCGCGTTCTAATAATAATGTTTTGGTCAGTTGCGTGTTTCAAAATACGACACTCCAGGTACACAAATGAGTAACAAAGAAAAGTATAACACCTCTATCATTTTCATATATTTTGTTTTACTAAAAACTGTTATTTATGTATTTCCTATTGAATACCGAAAAAATTATAAAAAATTCAACGTTTTATTCTGATAATTAATTTGATTGAATCAAAAAAGTACTTCGACCGATGAAATGCAAACTTGTTTATGTCAAATCATATTTCTATACACGCTACTAATTTTGTGCGCATAACGCTTAGATTATAGGGGGTTTTAAAACGCCAGCTACCAAAAAAAATCCCCATTTACTAATGAATATAATATACTAAATTCAATATTATATTTTATTTTAATATTAGGTTGCATTGATAAAATCGTAAGTAAAATACAACATGTCGTACAACGAGAATACTCTTATCATTTTATTTTTACCGATGACTGATGACCGACATTTTAAGCAAAAAAGTAGGTAGAGTTTAAAGGTCGAGAAGTTACCGGATCAGTATTCAGTACATATAGCATTTCACATTGTATATCTTTTTTATGTTTACTTTTATTTTTACGATCTTTTTAGATGGGTTCAGTAAAAAAATTATTATTTTTGGTATATATTTGCGACAAAAAGTGTATGACTCGTTGAAAGATGATTTCACAAGGCAAACAAAAAGATAAGTTTAGACGGGATTGGTATTTGGTGAAACAATTTACTGTCGGTGAACATCAGCACTGTTGTTCGTTTTACTGTAGATTGTAACATTATTATTATTATTGTCATCAGAATAGATAAATGTTATGCTATAAAATAAAAAAAAATTGTATGGAACTTTGTTTTCTATTTACTCCTCAATAATAAATTGCCCACAAGTACTCTTCAGAAAAGTTTTAATATAATATAACACTTTCACAAGACGTTGTTTAACGAAAAATATCGTCACTAAATTTATCACACACGTTCGTCGTTTATTCATCCGTATTGATCGGATCGCTACTGCCATTTATTGTATTTTACGAGTTTTCAGCCTGAATTTTTTATTAGTGTTCGATCGATTCGCAACGCTATATTATGTATGTATAATGGTTGTTTAATAATAATTTATTATCAGTTCGTATAAAAAAAATTATCTGTACTTGCTTCCATAAATTCTGAACCTTAATCTTGAGGGATTTCTTTATCTTAACCTTACTACCGAAAGTTTTGATGGTCCCGCCATCCAATTTATAATATTCATACAAACGAACTGAGTGCTAATGTTCTACAGCTCAAAATTTATAAATTAGAATAAATTAAATAACGGTCCTCTGAGACACGAAAATAACATTAACGGGTGTGTAAATATCTTACATATTTTATTTTGTGATATTGGCATTGAAACCAACAATGATAAATCCTCGCATTCGTAAGACTATTGTGAGTAAGTTCGRAATATATGTATTATAAGCTTTATTTGAAATTATAAACATAAATTAATGATAATGAATCTTCTTCGATAAGTAACATACTTTACTGTAACAATATCTGTTATTGTGTACATTTCTGAAAAAATCGATATTATTACAGATATTTACAACACTTGATTTATGAATTTTCATAAGGATTTAACCTTCAGTTTATTTGAATTAATATTTACTTAATGTTTTAAATTAATGATGCTATGAGGGAAACGTTAGTCTCCTATATTTTTTTTTTTTGTGTCAGAAATCCTAATGGTAACTATATAATAGTTAACTAGACAAGTAAATATGACTAGGTTTACAATTTAAAACAACAAGAATGATATGAATAAAATAAATCAATAAAAAATCAATGAAAATATAGTAAAACCTCTCTATAACGAAATCATTTGGGACCAAATATTTTTCCGTATTAAATAGTTTTCCGTCATAGAAAAGTAGAAATTGCATATATAATTTACACCGGGACTATTGAAATTTTCCATTATAAAGAGAATAAAATATGTTAGGGTTAGTATTTCGACTAGATGTTTTCA